CATTTTTTTTCTTTTTTAAGACAGAATCTCACTCTGTTGCCCAGGCTGGAGTGTAGTAGTGCAATCATGGTTCACTGCAGTCTTGACCTCCTGGACTCAAGTGATACTCCCACTTCAGCCTCCCAGCTAGTTTGAACTACAGGTGGATGCCACCATACCCGGCTAATTTTTTTTTTTTCCTAGAGATAGAGTTTCACCATGTTGCCCAGGCTGGTCTCAGACTCCTGCGCTCCAGCAACTGGCCCACCTTGGCCTCCCAAAGTGTTGGGATTACAGGTGTGGCACACCATCCCCAGGTGTCATGATCCATTTTGAGTTAACTTTTCTGTATGGGATGAAGTGGGTATCCAACTTTCATTCTTTCACATGAGGATAGCCAGTTTTCCCATACCATTTGCTGGAAAGACTATTGTTTTGCCTACTGGACTGTCTAGCAATCTTGTTAAATGTCAACTGACCATATATGTAAGAGTTTATTTTTAGACTCTCGGTACTATTCCATCGATCTTTATGACTATCCTTGTGTTAGTATCACAATGTCTTGATTATTGTGGCTTTGCAGTAAACTTTAAAACCATAAAGTGTGGCCGAGCACAATCTCAGTACTTTGGGAGGCCAAGGTGGGTGGACCACGAGGTCGAGATTGAGACCACCCTGGCCAACATGGTGAAACACCGTCTCTATTGAAGAAATACAAAAATTAGCTGGGTGTGGTGGCGTGCATCTGTAGTCCCAGCTACTCGTGAGGCTGAGGCAGTGGAATTGCTTGAACCTGGGAGGTGGAGGTTGCAGGAAATCAAGACTGCGCCACCGCACACCAGCCTGGTGACGGAACAAGTGTCTGTCTCAAAAAAACAAACAAAAACAAAATCAAACAAACAAAAACAGAAAGTGTGAGTCTTACAACTTTGCACTTCCTTTTCAAGATTATTTTGGCTATTCTGGGTCCCTTGCCTGTCTGTGTTAGTTTTAGGGTCAGTTTGCCTATTTGCCTATTTCTGCAGGGGGGGATTTTTAAAAAAGCAATTGGGATTCACTGAATCTGTAGATCACTTTGGGTAGTAAAGCCACCTTAACAATACTGTCTTCCAATTCATGAACACTGGTTATCTTTCTAATTATTTAGACCTTTAATTTCTTTCAATAATATTTCATGGTTTTCTGTGTACAAGTCTTACACTCTTGGTTAAATTTACTCCTAATTACTTTTTCCTTTTTGATATTATTACAAAAGGAATTTTATTCTCAGTGTAATTTTCGGTTATTGCTAGTGTACAGAAATAAAAGTGATTTTTGTATCTTGATCTCATTTCCTGCAACCTTGCTAAACTTGTTTATAGTTTTAAGAGTTTTCGGATATATATATATGTGGATTCTTAAGGATTTTCTATATAAAAGATTCCACCATTTATAAATAGTTTCTTGAAGCTGGATGGCTTTTTTTTTTTCCTTCTCTGGCTGGAATCTCAGCATAATGTTGAACAGAAGTGGCCAGAGCAGATATTCTTGCCAAGTTCTTGATCTTAGGGGACAGGTATGTTATTACCTGTGGTAGTTTTGTAGATGTCACTTACAGAATTAAGGAAGTTATTTGCTATTCCTAGTTTGCTGCCTTTTTGTTGTTGTTGTTGTTGTTATTGAGACAGAGTCTTGCTGGAGTGCAATGGCATAATTTCGGCTCATTCCAATCTCTGCCTCCCGGTTCAAGCAATTCTCCTGCCTCAGCCTCTTAAGTAGCTGGGATTACAGGCATCTGCCACCACATCCAGTTGATTTTTGTATTTTTAGTAGAGATGTGGTTTCAGCATGTTGGCCAGGCTGGTCTCAAACTCCTGACCTCAGGTGATCCATTCACCTTGGCCTCCCAAAGTGCTGGGATTACAGGTGTGAGCCACCACGCCCAGACGACTGTTCTAATCATAAAAGAATGCTGGGTTTTGTCAAATGTTACTTTTTGTGTGAACTGAGATGATTATATAGTTTTGTCCTTTATTAATATGGTATATTATATTGATAGTTCTATATGTTGAACTACCCTTTCATTCCTGGGGTAAGTTCCTCTTGATCATGTTATATAACCCTTTAATGTGTCAAAGAAACAAGATTTTCTTTTTCTTTTTTTCTAAGATGGAGTTGCACTCTGCCACCCAGACTGAAGTACAGTGGTATGATCTCAGCTCATGACAGCTTCCTCCGCGTCCTGGGTTCAAACAATTCTCCTGCCTCAGCCTCCCAAGTAGCTGGGACTACAGGTGCCCATCACCACGCCCAGATAATTTTTTGTGTTTTTCATAGAGACAGGGTTTCACCATGTTGACTAGACTGGTTTCAAACTCCTGACCTCAGCTGATCCGCCTGCCTTGGCCTCCCAAAGTGCTAGGATTACAGGCATGACCCACTGTGCCCGGCCAAGATTTTCTTTTTTAAATAACTTAATTTGTTTTTTCTTTTTTAGAGACAGGGTCTCACTCTGTCACCCAGGCTGAAGTACAGTGTATGATAATAGCTCGCTGCAGCCTTGAATTCCTGGGCTCAAGCGACCTTCCTGCCTCCGACTTGCAAGTAACTGGGACCACAGGTGTGTATCACCACACCCACAATTTTCCTTTTTAATACCTAGGTTGTATGTTTCTCAGTTTATGATGGGAAACAAACCATTCAGTCTACCATGTCAGGTGTTTAAGTCTGTGGTATAATAAAAACATATATTGAGTCTTTGTTCCCGGTTCCTGTCACTGACCTCCCAATTTCCTAAGTGACAGGGTTGTCTTTTGCTATTCATAACAAGATTCTTTTGACTATAATGGGTTTATGCTAATGAGATGACTGATGACAAGGCTTCTATCTAGCTTCAGAATGGGGGCTGGTCTCCAGAGGAATCAACCAAGTGATTAGAGGGCTGAAACTTTCAGTCCCACTTCCTGACCTCTTAGGAGGGGAAGGGAGACAGACATTACACTCAATCACCAGAGGTCAATGATTTAATCAATCATGCCTAAGTGATGGAATTTCAATTCAAAATCTGAAAAACTGAGGGTAAGGAATATTCCAATTTAATGAATTACATCAAGGTGTTGGGAGAGGTGGCGTATCCGGAGAGGGCATGGAAGCTCTGGAGCCCTGCCCCAACTCCCTGCATATGCCCTTCTTCCATTTGGCTGTTTGCAAGTTGTATATTTTATAATAAAATGGTAATCCTAAGCATAGCATTTTCCTGAGTTCTATGACTCACTCTAGCAAATGATCACATGGAGTGGCATTTCCAAAATCTACAGCCAACTTGGACAGAAGACAGAAATGTGGGTAAGCCTGGGGACCCAGGACTTGCAAGTGGTGCTGCAAGTGAGGGCGGTCTTGTGGACTGAATCCTCAAACTTGTGGAGTCTGACACTAAGGGTGGTTAATGTCAAATAGGATTGAATAGGAGGACACCAGTTCATGTGGTAGAATCAGAGAAATGATGGTTGTTGGAAACGCACTGCAAAATCTTTAAACTGCTCTTACTATAGACTACTTACCTGAATAATAAAGAATAAGGAAATCAAAATAAAGCTTTTTGTAAGATCTGTGTATCTTTAAATAATTATTACAAAATAATAGACTTCTCCTAAAGATTTATTCTAGCAACAAAAAAGTAGTAATGAGTCCTTAGTATTGCTACCATTAAGGGTATTATCTTAGGTCTAATATTGGCTTAAGACTTGGTCTTTGTGTGTTTGGCCAAAACTTGCTTCAAAGAGTTACTCTTAATGAAATTCAAAGCCTAGAAGGTAGCAATAGGCATGGAAAAAAAAAAACTCTTTAACAAGAAGCCACCTATGCCATAGCAAAGAAACAAACATGCTTCGATACATAGTTTTAACTTATAAAAAGCGACATCAGGCTGGACGCCCCTGCAATCCCAGCACTTCAGGAGGTCAAGGTGAGCAGATCACTCGAGGCCAGGAGTTCAAGACCAGACTGGCCAACGTGGCAAGACTCCGTCTCTACTACAAATACAAAACTTAGCCGGGTGTGGTGGCACACACCTGTAATTCCAGCTACGCAGGACACAGAGACACAGAATCACTTGAACCTAGGAGGAAGAGGTTGCAGTGAGCCAAGATCATGCCACTGCACTCCAGCCTGGGTGATGAAGTAAGACTACCTCAAAAAAACAAAAATCAAAAAACAAACCCCAACATCTTGACATGCAATGGAACTATTTTCTTAGTTAGGTTTTTACTGTATTAGCATTCCACATAATTCAAAATGCCTAGAAACAATATTTTATTTCTATAACATGAAAAATAAAGTCTTAAAAAATTGCTGGACATTTCACTCATTCAGTAAAAATTTATTAAGAAAAAATTCTTCCTGGTGGTCTAGTGGTTAGGAGAAAAAAAAAAAGAAAAAAGTCATTTCCAGAAAGTCACTGGTAGCTTCTATTTGGGGTCATCTTATAAGATGGCTATATAGAGTTTTGAAGTAATTTACTAATTGTCTTGAATAGGGCTCTAGACAGACTTCCCAAAAACTTAAGAAAAAGGTAGGCAAATAATAACATTAACTTTTCTTTTTTTTTTTTTTGAGACTGAGTCTTGCTCTGTTGCCCAGGCTAGAATGCAGTGGTGCGATCTCAGCTCACTCCAAATGTCTGCCTCCCAGGTTCAAGTGATTCTCCTACTTTAGCCTCTCCCGGAGCTGGGACTACAGGCACATGCCACAATGCCCAGCTAATTTTTGTAATTTTTAGTAGGAACAGGGTTTCACCATGTTGGCCAGGCTGGTCTCAATCTCCTGACCTCAGGTGATCCTCCTGCATGAGCCTCCCAAAGTGCTGGAATTACAGGTGTGAACCACCGCACCCAGCCAACACTAACTTTTAGAAAGTAGAAATATTTCAATAGTAATGTCTTCAACAGTACATTATATCGTGAAGATCAACTGGAATATTTATTCTTCCTAACCAAGCACACAAATGTGTGTTCATGAAGGGTTTATACAATTTCTAGTCTTACCTCATCTATGTTTCTAAGCCATTTGCTGATGTTTTCAAAACTTTTACCATTGGTGATGTCATATACTAGCATGATACCCATTGCTCCTCTGTAGTAGGAGGTTGTGATGGTGTGAAATCGCTCCTGGCCTGCTGTATCCCTGAAATAAACAGCCAATAATTTCTATTAAGCATTTTTATATTACCACATTTTACATAAAGGACAAAACAAGAATAAATAATTAGTTTTTCCTAAGTATATATAAAAACTTTTTAATTGAAGGAAATTAATAACCTACCCATATTGGATAAAAATCCGAAAGGGAAAACAGTAGGAAGTGACACATAAAACTCAAGGTTATTGAATAAGCATAGCAAACACCATAAAAACTCTTAAAATTTAATTTTATTTAATAATTTAGTTCCATGATGCAATACAAAAGCAGGTAGAATTTTTAGAACATTAGAGAACTATACCATACGATAGCCACATTTACACTTAGAATCATTTACAAAATGTTGTAAAGATAACCTCACTTATAAATAAGACAGAAATGTAAATAATACTATTTTTCTCATTTAATGCTTAAAGCCAAAGGTTTAAGATTTGTTCCTGTTAACTATGTCCTCTCATTTGTATCATCATTTTGCCCTTTTTGATCATCTCATAAGCTTACAAACATGTTTTAGTATCTTTTTTAAAAAAGCAAAAATAAGGCCAGGCATGGTGGCTCATGCCTGTACTCCCAGCATTTTGGGAGGCCGAGGTGGGCAGATCACTTGAGGTCAGAAGTTCAAGACCATTCTGGCCAAAATGGTGAAACCCTGTCTCTACTAAAAATAAAAAAATTAGTTGGACGTGGTGGTGCATGCTTGCAATCCCAGCTACTCGGGAGGCTGAGGCAGGAAGATCATGTGAACGTGGGAGACAGAGGTTGCAGTGAGCCGAGATCACACCACTGCACTCCAGCCTGCGTGACAGAGCAAGACTCCATCTCAAAAAAATAAATAAAGGCAAAAATAAAGCAAAAAACCCCACTCTCAACCCTACATCTCTCCAACCATTCCTGTTCCTTTTTTGAGGTGATATTTTTAAAATTTTTATTTTGAAATAATTATAGCCTACAGGAAGTTAAAAAACTGTGCAGAGAGGTCCGGAGTACCTTTCACCCAGCTTTCCCTAATGATATTATCGAATATAACTGCAGCATAATAGCAAAACCAGAAAATTGACATTGGGTATTATGATCTACAGACCTTATTCAGATTTCAGGGCTTTTTTTTTTTTAACGTGCGCTTATTTGTGTATGCATGTATATATACATAGTTCTCTACAATTTATCACATGTATAGATTTATGTAACTACCACAACAAACACCATAGAGAACTACTGCATCACTCCTGTACTCCCCATAGTCCCTAAACTCTAATCAATAATCTGTTTTCCATGTTTATACTTTTTTCTTTTCCAGAATGTTACGTAAGTACAATCGTGTAGTATGCTGCCGTTTGAAACCGTCATTTAACACTTCTTTCACCATAATGCTCTTGAGGTCCTCTCCAACTTGTTGCATGTATTCCTGGTCTGTTCCATTTCATTGCTGAGTAGCATTCTATGGTATGTATATACCACAATTTGTTTAATCATTCACCCAAGGGAATGACATTTGAGGCTGTTTCCAGTTTTGGGCTGTAACAAAGTTTTAAGAATATTCATGTACAGGTTTATATGAGGACATAACTTTTGATTTCTTTGAAATAAATGCCCAAGAATGGTATTCATGGGTCATATGGTAAGTGTACAACTGTAAGCAACTGGCCAACTTTTTCCAGAGTGGGTCTATCACTTGACATTTGCACTAGCAACATATAAAAGATCCAGTTTCTCTGCATCCTCATCGGCATTGGATGCTGTTGCTATTTTTTAATTTCTGCAGTTCTAAGAGGGCATATAGTAATATTTCATCATCATATTAATTTGTACTTCCCTGTGGCTAAGATGGTGAACATTTTTTCATGTGTTTATCTGCCATTCGCACATCCTCTTTGGTGAAATCTCTGTTTATCTCTTTTGTCCCCTTTCTAATTCGATTGTTGGTTTTTTGTTTCTGGGTTTTTTTTTTTTTTTGAGACAGGGTTTTGATCTTGTTGCCCAGGCTGGAGTGCAATGGTGCGGTCTTGGCTCACTTCAGCCTCTACCCCCAGGGTTCAATCGATTCACCTACCTCAGCCTCCCGAGTAGCTGGGATTATAGGCGCCCACCACCATACCCAGCCAATTGCTGTATTTTTAGTAGCAATTGTTGGTACTGTTGGCCAGGCTGGTCTTGAACTCCTGACCTCAGGTGATCCTCCCACCTTGGTCTCCCAAAGTGCTGGGATTACAGGTGTGAGCCACCTCACTGTGCTCGGCCTGGATTGTTAGTTTTTTTTACTGTTGACTTTTGAAAGTTATTTTTAAACAGAAGTCCACTGTCAGATACACTGGATTGTAAATATTTTCTCCAAGTCTGTAGCTAGTCTTTTCATTCTCTTGACAAGGTATTTTGTAGAGAAGAAGCTTTTAATTTTGTGAAAGTCTAATTAATTTACTGATTTTTTTCTTTCACAGATCATGTGTTTAGTGGTACGTCTAAGAAATCTTTACCTTTTTTTTTTTTTTTTTTTAAATAGGGTCTCACTCTGTTGCCCAGGCTAGAGTGCAGTGGGGTGATCTCGTCTCACTGCAACCTCCATCTCCTGGGTTCAAGTGATTCTCTTGCCTCAGCCTCCCGAGTAGCTGAGATTACAAGCATGTACCACGACACCTATCTAATTTTTTATTTTTGGTAGAGACGGTTTTTGCCATGTTGGTCAGGCTGGTCTCAAACTCCTGACCTCAAGTGATCTGCTGTGCCCAGCCTCTTTACCTAGTCTTATGTTCCAAAGATTTTTCTTCTACATATATATATATATATATATATTTGAGATGGAGTCTTCCTCTGTCGCCCAGGCTGGAGTGCAGTGGCATGATCTCAGCTCTTCCAACCTCTGCCATCAGGGTTCAAGAGATTCTCCTGCCTCAGCCTCCTGAGTAGCTGGGATTATAGGCGCATGCCACCACACTAGATAATTTTTCTATTTTTAGTAGAGACGGGGTTTTGCCATGTTGGCCAGGCTGATCTCGAACTCCTGACCTCAGATGATCTGCCTGCCTCAGCCTCCCAAACTGTTGGGGTTACAGGCATAAGCCGCTGTGCCTGGCTGTCTTATGGTTTTATTAAACTGATGGTATATTTTGAGTTAATTTCAGCACAAACTGTGAATTTTAAGTAGGGGTTTACAGTTTTGCCTATGAATGTCCATTGCTCTAGTACCATTTGCTGGAAATACCGAAGTAATAACCTTCCCCTACAGAATTGCTTTTGTACCTCTGTCAAAAAGCTGCAGGCCATACCACAGTTCAATCTATGGGTTCTTTTTCTCTTTTAATCTCCTATGTGTCTAGGCCTCCTCCATTACCATACTGTCTTCATTACTGAGGCTAAATAAACAGATAGACTGATTCTTCCCACTTACTTTACTTTGTCAAAATTGTTTTAGCTATCCTAGCCTTCCCATATAAATATTAGGATAAACTTATCTATATTTACACAAAAATCTTCCCAGCAAATTTCTTTAAAGAGTTTTCTCTAGTTGCTGTTTTCCCATTTTTGGTCCTTAACTAATTCTAATTGGATTGCTATTACTGATTACTCTACCAAAACTCCTTTTCAGAAGGTCTCCATCCAATAACCTGGATACTAAATCCAATAGCTACTTCCTTTTCATATATTTTGTACCTCTTAATGACAGGGATACATTCTGAGAAATGCACCATTAGACAGTGTCATCATTGTGCACAAATCATAGAGTGTACTTATACAAACCTAAATTATTATAGCCTACAACATACCTGTAGTATATGGTAGAGCATATTGCTCCCAGGCTACAAACGTGTAGAGTATGTGACTATACTGAATACAGTAGGCAACTGTAACACAATAAGTATTTGTATATCTAAACATCTAAATACATCTTGAAAAAGTACAGTAAAAATATGGTAATATAATATTAATGGGACAACCATTGTGTTGAAATATCATTATGCACTGCATGACTGCATCTTAATCACTAAGCAGAATGCTACACAGTTGACTACATTCTCTCTCTCTCTCTTTTTTTTTTCTAAGACAGAGTCTCAGGGAGTGCAGTGATACAATCTTGGGTTACTGTAATCTTCACCTCCCGGGTTCAGGTTATTCTCCTGGCTTAGCCTCCCAAGTAGCTGGGATCACAAATGCGTGCCACCAGGCCCAGATAATTTTTATATTTTTAGTGGAGACGAGGTTTCACCATGTTGGCCAGGCTGCTATTGAACTCCCAACCACAGGTGATTTGCCTGCCTCAGCCTCCCAAAGTGCTAGGATTTCAGCCGTGAGCCACTGTGCTCGGCCAACTGCATTTTCTCCTTTTAACACTTTATTCTCATGCCTCTTTGGATAAGTTCCTGGTGGTCTTCATTCTAAGTCACTGGTTGCTTGTTCACAGTACCTTTTGTTGGCATTCTAAGATCCAAAGATGATGGACTGCCATTCTTCACACAGCAGCCAGAGTGATCTTCTTTAAATATCTGTTTGATCCTATTTTTCTGCTTAAAACTTCTAATAGTTTCATTGAGAAAAAACAGGCTTTCCAACAAATGGTGCTGAAACAACTGAATATATATCCATGTAAAAGGATGAAGTTGGACCCTCTACCACATACCGTTTATAAAAATTAACTCAAAATAGATGAAGACCTAAATCCAAGAGCTGAACTATAAAAACTCTTAGAAGAAAACATATGGGGTCATCTTCAAATAGTCGATTTGACAATTGACCAAAGCAAGAAAAAACAGGTAAATGGGACATGAAAAATTAAAAACTTTTATTTCAGTGGACACTACCAACAAAGTGAAACGACAACCCACAGAATGGAAGAAATTATTTGCAAACTGTCTGTCTGATATGGGACTTGTGTATGCAGAATATACAAAGAACTTGCAACTCAACAATAAAAGGACAAATGACCAAACTTAAAAATGGACAAAAGATCTAAACAGACATTTATTTAAAGAAGATACACAAATGGCCAATAAACA